GCTCACTGGAGCCTTGAACTCCTGGACTCAAGCAATCCTCACATCTCAGCCTCACAAGAAGCAAGGACTACAGGCGTGCACTATCACAACCAGCTAATTTTTTTAAAAAATTTTTTGTAGAGATGGGGTCTCACTATGTTGCCCAGGCTGGTCTTGAATTCCTGACCTCAAATGATCCTCCCGCCTCAGCCTCCTGAATCACTGGGACTGCAAGAGTGAGCTACCATGCCGGCAAAAAGGTCCTATTTTGAAATTGCCTCTAATGGTAGGAAATGTGATGTCATTTGAAGAACCACACAAACCTAGTATTCCTAAGAATATTCCTAAGAATCTTACTTTCACTTAATATATATGCTATCTCCTTCATAACAGAGAGGGGTACTATAAATTCAGTGTTGACTCTTTCCTCTTGGAATTGTTACTCAGGCCAGTACTATGAATTATCCAGCAGTTGTCTTTCTGAAAAAGGCATTAAGTCATGTAAATTGTACGCACTCCGTTTTTTGACAATGGCCTTGAAATCAAGTGCTTAACTGAAAACATTTTATTTAGTAATCCTATGAAACTGAGCCACCTATACATTTACCCATACTCACCACAAGGCTATAGAAAGGAAGAAGGTTTTGAAATGCAGAAGAACACTTCTCTTTGCTCAACTGGCCCTCCTTTAGTCCCTGTGCCACAGTCTCCTAAAACAAACAAACAAAAAGATTTAATGTAAAAACATGAAAATTTCTAGAGCTATAATTGGTGAATAAATACAAGTCAGTATATACAATTCCCTACTGATCCTATAGGCATTTCAAATGTCGCAAACTGAACCCATCAATCAAGGAGGCTTATATAACAAACATGCTCTCCACTGTAGTCCTTAGTTTAGTGAAGGGCACCACCATCCATCTTGTTGCACAAACTAAAAACTTGGATCACAGACAAGACTCTTCCTTCTTTCCTGCTGCTTACCGATGCCCCCTGCCAAGTGTTCAATCCTACTCTACTAAATCTCTCTCTTCTTCCACACCTCCTCTCCAGTCACACTTCCATTGCTTAGGCTCTCATTATTTTTCAGATTATTCTTGAAGATTATCAACTACAAGAGCCTGTTGGTTGGTCTCCTGGCCTCCAGCCTCAATTCTCACTAATCCTTCCTCTCTATTACTTTTGGAGTAATTGTTCTAAACTGATCATATCACTTGATGCTTAAAAGAAAAACATCTTTAGTTGCGCCTCAGTTTGCTCTAGATTAAGTCCAAATTCCCTAAATATGGCATACAAGAATTTTCATGACATACCCCTGATATATTCTTAGCCCTCCTTACTTCTATGTTCCTGCAACTTAAACATTAAGAAATATCTATGTCCCTCTCTAAAGAAAAACAAAAGCAACAGTAAAACATGGGGAAAAAAACACTTGCAGTGAATATACAAAAGATGTATTACCCAAAGAGTTTATATATGTAATC